ACATTATTTCAAACAGAGGTTTAGTTTTAGTCCAGATCTTTCTAAAAACTAAATATTTTTTTAAAAAAAAATTCCATTTAGTTAAACTATGAAATCTTTACTTTGCAAAGCTTGAAATTAAGGTTTTCAACAATTTATTATCACAAAAATTTGTAACTAGATTTTGAAGCTTTTGCAAATTAACTGCACTAAATTAAAACCAAATTCATCTGTAAAGTAAATTATTGAAATCTTGTATTTTTTTAAAAAGCAATTATTTTAAAAAATGTAAAAAAAAGCAAATATATTATTTCAAACAGAGGTTTGGTCTCAGTTTATATTTTTCCAAAAATGAAATTTTTTTAAAAAAAAATTTCCACTTAGTTAAACTAGGAAACCCTTACTTTGCAAAGTTTTAAATTTAGGTTTTTACAATTTATTTTTACAAAGATTTGTAACTAAATTTCATAGCTTTTGCAAATTTACTGTACTAAATTAGAACCAATTTTATCTGTAAAGTAAATTATTGAAATCTTGTATTTTTTAAACATTATTTAGAAAATTTAAGTCTTGGTTTTAGGTGGCTATTTGAAACATAATAAATTATGGAAGACAGAAGGAATTATTTATTAAAAAATTAAGTACTAAAAAATGGCAGTCTACATTAGGTAATGGTTTCAATTCTATATAAAAATAAACATAAAAAATATGTATATAAAAGCATCTTATATAACACAAACTAAACATTATAACGCAAAATATCACATTTAAATAAGCAAGTAAAAATATTAAGCAATTCAAAAGATTTCTTATGGCTTTTAAGTTGAATTTGTTCATAACTGAACATACGAGATCATACATCATTGTTTATTGAACTGACATTAAATCACAAAAACATTGACTAGAATGGTGTAAAATTTAGGAAAACACATACAAGAAAAAAAAAATCAAGTTGCACTGTATTAATATTTAAAAACAAATAAAAATGTTTCAAACTTTTTGATTAATAAAGTAAATTAAATCGCATCATTATTAATCTTTGTAAGTAGGCTCTTTTGTTATTCATCCCTTATTCAACCCTTAATCTTATTATAAACCTAGTAGAGGAAACTCTCCAGCAAGGTAGTGGGCACTGCAGATTATTCTTCATCTAAGAGTTTTTTTTTTTAATTTTTAAAAAGTGTAAAAAATGGGAAAAACAGTTAAGACTTGTTTTTAAAACATATCTAAACTTGTTGTTAATAAAAGTTAAAAAGCTGAATTGAACAAACACAGCAAAGAATGAAAGGCAAAGAATTTTTTTGTTACTTGATTATAGACTTAATAGTATAGGGTTTTATTCAATTTTTTTTAGCATCATTGTATTAAATTCAATTTAATTTAACCTCTTCAGTCAGAATATTTTTATAGCTTCTAGATATTCGCTTCCCTTGGAATATGCCCTGTAGCTTCAACATGTCTCCTTCAGTCGGAATATGTTAGGATATTTCCTTTAAAAAGCAATGGTAGAATAGGTTCCAGGATCTTCCCTTTAAAAAGCAATAACATCATCATCAAATAAAATAAAAGTCCTGTGATTCTGATGATTATTAATTCATTTGAATTAAAGTTGATGACCAAAATACCAGATGCCAGGTTCGAAGGTGTTTAATAACAAGGTTTTAATGTATAAATTTCATATTTTCAAATTTTGCTACTACTTTAAATGAAGTTAAATTCTTACAATGACAATAATAATCTACTGCCTTACTGCATTGAGATCTCAGACAAATCCGGATTTTTGCAGATAGTACTGCAGATTCATTCTATAAATGCTGCTACTGGTTAATATTTTTTAATTTAAAAAGTATCAATTTTTAGATGTCAACAAGTAGCACTGTTTAAGAATCAATTTACGAATTGTTGTTGAATAACAACATTGCAAATTGATTCTTAAACTGAATGTTGATTGAAAGGAATGTACCAAATGGACATTTTGGCTGTTGATCAAAATGTTATTAAAAAAGACAAATAAAATTCTCTGGGGATTTCTGCAAAATTCAAATATTTGATGTGGAAATTTTACTGCATGTGACATTTTCATAACCGATTGTTAAAAACTTATATCAATTCCGTTATCTCAAATAATATGAAAACAGTTATAAAACTTATTGCAAAAACTTATAATTATTTGAACAAATTAAACAATCACTCTATTTTGAAAATAGGTGGATAAATTAAGTTCACAATCTAATATCAAAATAAAGTTACACTATAATTTTCGCAAATAGTAAATTATTTCTGGACATTTTGATTATTGATATACATTATTTAATTTAGCATATGAAATTCTCTAGAAATTTCTGCAAAATTCAGTTTCTATCAAGTTAATGAGGTATCCTTACAGGCACTGCTCTTTCTGCAATAATTTGAAAATAATCATAAAATATATTATAAAAACATTTGAAACTTTTTGATTATTTGAAATATTAAGTTGCCACTTCTACTTCGCAATCAAATAGAGTCTTCTCTACAATTCTGACATGATTCAAATTTTAATTGCATTACCAACCTTTTATAATTAAAATGGACCTATTTCTAGATCTTACAAATGCGTACATTAGATCTACAATAAACTTATATTTATGAGCAATCTATTTATAAGAATGACTGAAGATGGTCTATTGATTAAATATATTGGCATGTTGAATTTAATGTGGTGTCTTAGTATGCAGTTACTGTTATTGTGGTGTCTTAATATGCATTACTCCATTTAAGTAGTGTCTTAATAATATAGTGTAAAGGAGTTACTAATAATAATGTTGGTTCCTATTAAATTTTTACTTCCTAAAATGCAGTGTAATTTGTCTTAATCTTTGATAGTTTGAATTCTTGAGGTACTCTAAAAATTACCTGAGGTGTTCATTTTATATCTGAAGGGATACAAATTTGATAGTACCCATGTTCACTTTATTAAAATATAATTATGTAAATATTAAAACATCAATGGTTTAAAGGTTTTTATAATTATGCGAATAAAGTGTGAATATTAATTAATGTTCATATACTAGCTGAACGTCTAACCAATCCTATTTCAATATTCTAAATTAATTTACCGGAAGAAAACTTTTCACAAAAACATTTTTAAAAAATATCCATCTTTTTTTTCGTGATCATGGCAAAGGATATACTTTACATATATACTGGCCTTATATAGATTTTAAAAACGTTAAACTTGCTGATTTGATGATATCTAAATTGTTAAAATTAGGGATGTTAAATTGAAATTTTGTCTCTTAGTATTGACGTTGACCAGTATAAAATATGTTTTTTGATTGTATTCAAATTACTGATGATATGGAGTAATGCATATTAAGACACCACATATATATTAGAAATACATAAGCTAAAGTGCGGTATAAAAAGTTAATATTCTAAAAACTTACAATGAGAAAAACTATTGATAATTGTCCACACACGCATGAAAAAACGTAGTCATTTTAGAAAAATATAAATTAATTTTAAAATAATATCAGTCAACAGCTTCTTTTTAAAGGAAACTGAAAATATAACAATGTTTAAAAAATTAGAATTTGGATTTAAAAAAAATTAAAGATATTGTTTTTTTATTGCTTGTATCTTTAATTAGAATTAATAACATTTATTGAAAATAGCTTTTTATAAAGAATTATAATTATGTAGTTATGTATCACAAAAATAAAATGTAATAAAAATGAAGAAATTAATAAAACTTAAACTCAATCATTAAACTTAAAGGAAATCTTAGCAGTTAATTATGTCCACATTTTAAAATATTTAATGAAAATTTTCAAATTTTTACAGAGTTGCAAAACTGAAACACAAAAAGTTCATTTAAATACAACTTTAAAATAAATATAAAAAGTAATCAAATGGAAATGAGTGTGTTTAAAGAAGCAACACAATGTTAATAAAAAATATAAATAAAAAAATCACAATATTTAAAAGCCAACATTTATCCAAAAAACTAAAATACACAAAGATATTATTAAAATGAAATTGATTGAAGTTCCATTACTAGAAAATTACTATGACAAAGTTTTAAAAGCCAAATCAAAATAAATATTGTTTACAGCAACTGTTTCTTATTATATCTAAAGAAGTATTTCAAATATGATCAAATGAAAGCTTAGTTAAAAAAATGAATTAAAAAAATATTGCTGCAATTATATAAACAATATTAAAATCAGGCAATTTAAAATATATGATTAAATAAAGACTTAGAAGGTAATAAAACACCCCTTAACATGTGCTTTCAGCAATTCTAGAAATTTTTCTTCAGGAAAATTTTGCTATTTAGTATTTAACTTTTTATGGTGGCTTCTGTTGCCCACATTTTACATTTAACACATTACAACAAAACATTCCTAATTTTTCAGCCTAAATTTTAGATTAAATTAAATTCAATTAAACCTTGTTATCATGAACTTGAAAGGAGGCGCGAAAATTTTTGCGAGATCCCATTTAAAGAGTTATGTAGCTTGCTGGCATCTAAAAAATATATAATGTGTATTTAGTACAGAATTAGTACCTTTACTTCTCAAAATACCTTTGCTTCGTCAGTTGAATTTACATTTTGCTGAATTTTATTTTTTTGTTTTATCACCTTTTTATAAGTATCAGTTTACTTTAAATTTATTATTTACAAGTTATTTCCAGTGTTGGGTGAATATTCTAAAAAAATGCACACACATCATACATGTCTTCTTTTTTAGAAATGAATAATTTAGGCAACTTCTTTTCATACATGGCAATCTCTTTCTTATTAAGTTTCAAAAAATGGTTTATGAAAAGCTTTTATGAATCAAAATAAAAGAGGGAAACTTACATTTTCCAGAAATTAAGATTTTTTTTTATTAGTGATAAAATGTATTTCACAGTTTTATGAATCGAAATGAAAGAAGGAATCACACATTTTCTAGAAATTAAGATTTTTTTTAGTAGTGATAAAACGTATTTCACAAAATCAAGAGCCATAAAGAAGTTAATTTGGTTATAAAAAGTTTTCTTTTTTTTAACTTTTATCAGAGTAACAATGCATTAGTAATTGATTTTTTCTAGTAGTCGAATTTTGTGATATCGAGGCTCAGTTTAACTGCTGTACTAATAGGTTTTAAAAGCTCTATTCACCTGCCAGGAAAATTATGGTTAAACTTCACCTGATAATAAATAAAATAAATGATTATGCATAATAAATAATTATAAATAATAATGCATAATAAATGATGTAAATAAATAAATAATTATGCATTATGTTTAAGTCTTTCAACCAACTAATGAAGTTATTTTAATAATGGATTTTCAATCAACTTCATTTCAAATATGGGTTACTTGTACACATTTGTTAAATTAAGTAATCCCAGATGGGTAAAAAAAATACTCATGAAAAAATATGTGCAATTCAAGAATAAATAATGAAACATTGTAGCCAGTAAAGTCTTCTATCTTCATATTACAAATGCACTTTCAAGTATAAGTGATTGTATTTAGTATATGTTATTGAAATTAGTGTTTTATCAAGCAAGCAAATGCTTCAAAAGTGTCTCAAATCTTACATGATCTATCATGTAGTTATGATGTGCATACCAAAAGGCCTTTTATTAATGTGAATCATTAATGGGAGATTTTCGTTCTAGAAATTTTCGCAGTTTTGTTGGATAGTCTGTCATCACTCCCACAGCTCCAAGCTCAAATGCTTTCTCAAAATCTTCTTCCTCGTTCAAAACCCACAAGTACGTCTAGAAAAAAGAAACTAATGTAAGTTGATATAAATAAATTATATCATAGTTTAAACTTTAAAATATTGGAGAAAGTTACTTAATCTTCAAAATGGACTGTTCTACAATTCTCTATTCATATTTCACCAATTTTTTTAAAATTAATCTTGTTAATACGTGTCAGCAATTATAATTTTTAAAAATTATTTTTAAATATAACCTAGCAGCTCAAACTGTATTTTAATGCTCTGGGGTACATTTGAAAATTAATGTTACTTAAATAATTTATTTATTTTAAAATTTGAGTTTTAATAAAGTATTCACATTCACATAAAGAAAATTAAGATAATATGCAATAATATTTGAACAAGAGTTATTATTTTAATAGCTTTTGGTTATAATAAAATTTCAAAAATGAAGACTTTTTGAATTTGTATAGTTCAAATTTTTCAATTGAATAATTAGTTCCAAAGAAATGAAACACCCAAAAATAAAAATAACAGTTAACAGGGACAAACTTTGTACTTATATTTTTCCAGACCATTGCTGCCTACTATCTACGGGATTAAAAATTTAATTTATAATAATAATAAAAAATAAAAAAAATTAGAGAAGCCTAATTTCTCAACTTAAAAATAATTATTTTTCCTGACTGATATTGATTCAATTTTACTATATGATCCAGCGATCATTTTGTCAATAGAGGAATTTTTTTTACATAGTTTTGGAATCAGCGTTTTAATATTTTTTAAGGATCCAAGACCTTTATCTATTTTTTAAGGATCCAAGACCACGTAACCACCTCTATTTACGACCACTTCTGGGAGGCACTGAATTTTTCCATAGACTTTGTGTTGAAGAAAACCTATCCCTTTGAGAGAGACCATCAAAACCTCTCCCATTGACAAGGCAATCCTTTGCACCAAATGCAGAAAAGGTTAATTATGGAAACAAGAAAAAATATCAACAAAAAATGTTAACAAAACAAATAAGTAGATTACAATGTATTCAAAATATTTGTGGGATGCTCTTAGTTAGAGAGCTCTTTTTGATGATATCTGAAAAAAATCTACAACCTCGTGTTGCAGTCAGAATGAACTAAAGACGATACTATCAATGATTTACTTTTAGAGTTAAGAGTTAAATTTGAAAAAAAAAATCCTCTTAGAAGAAACTAAGCATCTCAAACAAATAAGCCTTAAAGACAACTAATTTTTATGATATAAAATTAAATGCAAACTTAAACAAAAAAACATAATTGTTTATTTATTTAAAATAATTGTCTTTCATAATTGCTAAATTAGTTTTTACACATAATTATATCAGTAGGGATTATTTTTATTGATTGTAAAGTTTACTCATCAATCTGGCTTTCATACTGGCAACATAAGTGGCATTTCTGCATCAAGTAAATGACACTAACTAAAATTAGAATAGTTTGCAAAATTATGATCCGATTTCCTTCCATAACATTTTGAAGACAATGGAGATAACTCCTAAGAATAAACAACTTCCATTAATAACCATTTTACTGAGGAACAGAGAATGGTCCTTGGGAGGTTTCACTGTATTATCAACTTTACAGTATCATACATATTATGTGTTAGGTTATGCAGTATTATGTGCCTATTTATTATACATTTGTGATTTTATACAAGTTTTAAAAGATGCTTAGCAGGAATGAAACATTCTTTGGGAGTTAAATGTAATATTATAAGTAAATAATATATATGTGATATAATATAATAATAAAAATATAATATAATAATAAAAATATAATATAATAAGATTTAATATAAAGTAATATAAATGCAATATAATAAGATTTTTAATATTGCACAAATGGAATGGAGAGGAAATAGAATTTAAGATTTTGTAAAAAAGAAACATTCTACTTATGATTAAAATATGAAAAAAGAAAAATTATTTATAATAAGAAGCATTAAATCTAATGGTAAAATTTTAAAGTTGTACAGAATACAGAAAAAATATATTTCAATAAAAATGCAAGTACTGAAGCTGAGCTGATAAAATTATACACATAATGCCCATTGCAACAAAAAAGTGACTAATTTTGTATAGAAACTATATCTTTCAGACATTTTTGTGGTGTTTTTTTACTTTATATCTTGTACTTGGCCATTTAAAATAATTAATTTATATTGTTTATTCTCTTAAAACATGAATAAATCTTATTCATTAGAATGAATAGTATGCATTTAATAATATATTTGTAGTATGCATATAATATAACATAGTATGTCTTTTATAACATAAAAAAGATATCGGTTACCTTTCCAAATAATAATAAATTAGACATTATTTAAACTTCATAAATATTTAGAACTTTGGATTAAAAAAAAAAGTAATCTGTACTCAAATAGAAAGTGGAAAAATAATGCCAAAGACAATTCAGCAAATTTGTTTTTTATAATAAGGTTAAGTACTCTTGATTTTTGAAACACAAATCACACTTTATATAATGCACTTGATAAAAATTCATTTCATAAAATAAAACCAGTAATAAACATATTTCAGTGGTACACAGCTGAAGGTATACATTTACATGCTTTTAAAAGATATTCTGAAATTTGTTAGTAAGCATCAATATTACATAAATGTTATTTTCCNAGCGTCAACAAAATGAATTTTAATAGTTATTTTAATAAATGTATCACCAATGTATATATAAACTCTTTTATTTAATAAACTGGTAGACAAATTAAATTAAGGTAATTTAAACATTAAAGTGTAAAAGATTAAAAGAAGGACAATGAATATATAAATGGGGGTACAGTGGGTCACCGACCCACTGTACCCCATTTCAAGTGACCCAGTGTGCCCCACATGTACCATTTTAGTATATTTCACCTCAAACTCTTGCTCTTTAAAATATTCATTTAAATAAAATATCATACAAAATGAGATCAGTTAGACTATATAAACATACCACATAACTCATATTTAATTGACAAATTTAAAGTGTAATAACAAAAAGTCTTACTTACTTCAAATTTCCTGCAGAGGATCAGAAAATAAAATGGCTCTTTCTTCCCTCCACAATCAAATTGAGCTGCTTACCTTTTTCCACAGAGTAGAGTTGTTTCGTGTCTACTTTACAAACTTTTTTCATCTGAAAATAAATTACTGAAGCAAAAATATCTTCACTGACCCACTGTACCTCCTGACCCACTGTACCCCCTTCTCCCCTACTTTACTTTATACCTTGTACTTGGACATTTAAGATAATTAATTTATATTGCTTATTCTCTTAAAACACAAATAAATGCAAATATTCATTATAATAAATAGTATGCATTTAATAATATATTTATAGTATGCATTTTATAATGTAATATAGTATGCATTTTATAACATAAGAAAGATATCGGTTACCTTTCCAAATAACAATAAATTAGACATTATTTAAACTTCATAAATATTTAGAACTTTGGAATAAAAATAAGTAATATGTAGACCCATAGAAAGTGGAAAAATAATCCTAAGGACAATTCAGCAAATTGGTTTTTATAATAAGGTTAAGTACTCCTGATTTTTGAAACACAAATCACACTTTATATAATGCACTTGATAAAAATTTATTTCATAAAATAAAACCAGTAAAAAACATATTTCAGTGGTACACAGCTGAAGGTATACATTTATATGCATTTAAAAGAGATTCTGAAATTTGTTAGTAAACATCAACATTACATAAATGTTATTTTCCATATTTTGAAACAAAAATTTAAGAGGAACTATAAAAGAGGACAATATTGATTTTAAATTTATTCAATACATAATAAAATATATAAATATAATGATTGGAAAGATATTTATTACCTGAATTCCTCTCTTTAAAAGGTGATCAAACAAAGATTTTCTTAACAATAGCCTGAAAATGCAGTACATATATATAAGTTTCAATATATTTTTATAATACCTAACTATTTTTGGGGAAAACAGTAAACATATAACATTAAAATTTATGAAATAAAAATTCCGCATTAAGATTTAAACCTGCATAAAGATTTTTATTGGAATGCCAGAATACAATAACAAATCAAAGGTGTATTTTTAGAAACTTAGTGAGCAATAATACATACATAGCAAGTTAACAAAAAGAAAATGTAAATTGTTTTCTTTACTTATAATAAGTTAATATAAAAAAATTGTGACACGCATTAATTAATATTAAATTCATACATCTAATGAGACTTATTAAAATAAGAACGTATGAAGAAATTAAAAAAAAAAAAAAAAAACATCAAACTAAGTGAAAGTTAAGACAGCAAGTTAACAAAAAGATTTTTTTAATTGCTTTCCCTTCTATAATAAGTTAACACCAAAAAAATATCACATGTATTTATTAATATTCAATTTATTTATCTAATGAGTCTTTAAATAAATATACACCAAAGAACTTTAAAAAAATAAATAAATTAGATGAACGTTAAAAACCTAGTAATTTACCGTAAAGAAAATATAAATTGTTTTCCCTACTTATAAGTTACTCAGCGGCACGACAGCCCATAGAGGGCCAAGGCCTACTGTGCCAATCTCAGTATTCCTGACCTTGGGCTATGGGGTGCTGGAGCAGATGTTCCGGTTAGGTGGTCAGCCAAACGCGAAACCCCCAGCGTTTAGTTCCCAAGCATGCTTGGTACTCATTTATCGACCCACTGAAGGGATGAAAGGTTGAGTCAACCTTGCTCGCCCGAGGATCGAACCAAGGACCTGTGGCACGGGAGCGCGAAGCGCTACCACTCAGCCGCCGGGCTTCACTTATAAGTTAACACAAAGAAATTATCGCATGCATTCATTAATATTCAATTTATACGCCCAATAAGAATTAAAAGAATAAAATATAATGTCTGTTTTCAGTAACAAAATTAGTTTTTATAAACAAGATGCTTTATTTTTAAAATAAAAAAAATAAAAAAATTCATACTTGGAAAAATTAATTTTTTTAATATGTTAAAAAAAACTTTAACTAAACATAGAGCTACAAAGAATTTTTTTTCATTAAACATACAATTTAATTGAATTTAAAGTTACATAGTAATTTACTATACAGTAACTCAAAACAACAAGTGGATTTCTACAACACGAAATAAGAGTTAAAGAGTATCAATAAACCGTTCATACAAAGATCTTGTCATTTATAAATAAAATAAAAGAACTTAAAAGACTAAATAATTGAATAAATATAAAAATACTTATTATTAACTTTGCATACTTTTCAATGAGCCAAACAACATATGGACTCCAAAATTTATCTCTGGAGCCTTTCATGCTTGGATTTCTGAAAGGAAAGAAAAAAAATATTTTTATGCAAAGACAAAATTGTAATTATTTTTTACTAAGAAAATAATTAAAAGTAAGCTTTACGAACTTGAGTAAAACAGATGGCATAAACAGCTCCAAGCATGATTCTTTGAATGGTATGAAAGGCAATAATCCACTATATGTGAAAAGTACTAGGCAAATAACTCTACTAGCAGAAAAATAAATTGGAATCTGTGGATTCTAAAACATTCAATAAATTATACATTAGACCAAAAGTTTAAGTACATAGTATTATAATATCTAAGATATATTATTTATATAATATTTAACTAGTATTTATGATGACACATTAGGGATTTTTTAATGAAAGATGCGTTACAACAGTATTTAACTTGAATCACAGTTACCATGTTCATCATAATTTAAAATTACTTCATGGAAAATACATATATAAATAATGCATTTTTAAATAATAATAGCTCTTTATAACAGAAAACATTTTTCATAAAAGATGTAAAATTATTCTGAAAAGAAAAATATATTTAGCAAACAGATGTAATGTAATTCAAATTTACGAAGTACAAATTTAATGAATTCAAAATTAATCAATCAAGTTATCAGAAAATATGGCATAAATGATGGCATAAATGGCTTTATATGGTGGCTTTATATGGCATAAATGAAAAAATGCAACTAAATATAATGTACTTAATACATTACTACCAGATAATATGTCATAAAAAAATCGATGTATCATAAAATAAAATATGTTGTTTGAGAAGTAAAGGCGGCTGGTGAGCAGTTATGTCCACATTGTCACAAATAAGCTCATTGATTACGGAATTGTGGAACCTTAACCTCGATAACCCCTTGGTTGACAATTGGCTCCTGCAGTAGTGCCTTACTTTTTTTCTTATTTATTTACTTTAGTAAATGCTTGATTTTAAACTAATTAATATATTTAAAATGCTTCTCTAGAAATATTAAATATTTTAAACTAATTAATAGAAAGTAAATAAAACGTACATAAGTTATTTAGAGTAGTATTCCCTACTAAATAAATCTTTTAAATATACAGCACCAATTAGACATGGAATAAATAATAATTAATAATATTTAAAAAAACTTACGATTTTAAAGCATTTTTTCGTCACTGCATTGCTGAAATTACCCCAAACGGTGATGTTCTCTCTTTCATGTTCTCTAATAAGATCATTTACCTACATATTTTGAAACAAATATTGTTTAATAAAAACAAGTAATCAAATAAGTACAGTAAAAAGAAATCTGAACCATGATACCATGACCTTGTTTTTATTTATTTATTCATTTTCTGCAATTAACCGTAACTTTAGATGGAGATTAGGAATTTTTGGAATAAATGTTTCAGAAAGCTATGAACTAATTGTTTTTAATACTTAAAAAATACTTCAAATTAATAAAATAAATAAATCGAATAATTAAGCAAATAAATAAACTAGAAACAGAATAAATAAATAAAAAAATAGAATAAATGAACAGTTATATAAAAAAATAAATAAATAGAATAAATAAATATATAAATCAGGGTGCATAGCAGATTTTTCAACAAAAAATAAGCACCTTTTAAGCAGCAAAAATTATTTTTAATCACTTTGAAAAAAAAATCATAAATAGGATCTGCGAAGTATTAAAAATTATTTTTTTCTATCGTTAAAAGTTCATTTATAAACATAAAATCAATAAAATTCAAAAACTTAACATAATCATGATAAAATAACTAGTTTCTGATAAGACACTAGTTCATAACACTAGTTCATACTCATGAAACATAACATAAACTTAACATAATCATAAAGAAAATTTTGAAAATCATCCATTTTTTGTAATGTAGAACAACAACGACACGGCAAAGTGAAAATCTCTTTTTAAAAGAGAGAAAATTAAGCATTTTTTACAAATCCGAATAAAAAAAGCACCTTTGAGGGCTTTTAAAAAATGTAAATCAAAAATAAGCACTTTTTAAAAATGCTAAGCACCCTGTAAATAATTAAAAAAAAAACTAAACAAATGAATAAATAAATAAATAAATAAAAAAAAAAGAAAACTAAACAAATAAATAAATAAATAAATAATAATAATAATAATGAAAAAAAAAAACTAAACAAATAAATAAATAAAAATAAATAAATAAAAAAAACTAAACAAATAAATTAAAAAAAATAAATAAATTTTACATTACCAGATCACATTAGTATCATAAATTTATAATCATCCCTAAATCAGTTTATATTTTCAGGCATGCGAAAAATTTGGGNTAAAATAAAACTAAACAAATAAATAAATAAAAAATAAATAAATAAAAAAAACTAAACAAATAAATAAAAAAACTAAACAAATTAAAAAAAAAAACTAAACAAATAAATAAAAAAATAAACAAATAAATTTTACATTACCAGATCACATTAGTATCATAAATTTATAATCATCCCTAAATCAGTTTATATTTTCAGGCATGCGAAAAATTTGGGTCTGCGGAATTAATTATTGGAGAATTTACTGAAGAATTTATTGGAAAATTACTTCTTACACAGGAAAATTAAATTAACAAAATGACTTTCAGTAATTTATTAATGCAGCAGCAGTACTTGATTTACTGAATTATTTATGGTATCATTACTTCTAATTTAAACGGCATAACTTATGATTAGTTCATTCTAAATTGATGGAAGAATGTCGCAGAAAGGAAAGGGTAGTAGTAGTAGGTAATGAAAATTTATCTTTTAATTTATTTTACTTTCGAGGTAAGACGTAATCTTTAATAGAGACATTTTTACAGCAGGAATCTTATTTTACGAATGAAAAGAAATAATTCCTATTTAATTTTTAAAAAGTCTTTTCGTGAATTATATAAATTGGTTTAAAAACATTGCAAACACAAAACTAGATGAATTATTCAAATCAATCAATAAACTGTTATATCTGTTGTACACATAAATAAATAAACAAAATTAAAAATAAGAAAACATTAGGAGAAGAATTTTCAAGAATCTTTTCTTGACTCTTTCACATTTTCGTTAAAAAGAGTATTCCATAATTAAAATTTCCATATCAGAAAAGTGTATGGCTCCTCAAATAAGAAATTTTTTTTATTGACACAAATTAGAATAATTGTTTTGTTTTTTATCTCATAGCCTTCATAGTTTATATATAAAAATAATATCTCATATCAAAAACTAATCAGTTTAATGTTAACCAGCTAAATAAATGTAAAAAAGTGTATTTTCGTTTTTCAGCATTTCAAGCAATATTTATATTCGAAAAGATAACATTTTAATCTATTGCCAATTGACAACTAAAAATCAAAACTCTAGGATTAAAAAATTGCACATACACAGCTCAAAAATTTCAGATCCAAAAATATGTATTGTAATTAAATTATTCGTTCATCATGATGGGCACAATTTTCTTCTATTTCATACACATAAATGGAATGACTTTCCTTTTCACAATTTATCTTTAGATTGCATTTTAATGATGAACTAAACATGTTTCAAATAGGATTTGGATATTCAAAATCTCAATTGAAACATACCTAGTACAGTGCACACAAAAAAGGAACATTTAAAAAACTTTTGATCAAATGGCAGGATTTTTACGGACTAAAATTCAGTCTTATCTTTTCTTGGGGTTAACCTTATATATGCTAATTAATTAGTGCAGATGACATTTTAGTTACGAAATCAGAAATAAAAACATATCTCCCCCCCCCTCAACGAATTTGGATTATTCTTCCTTAAAATACGGGGGGAGGGGAAGGTTAGCCTTAATCTCGAAAATCAAAGGCGCGCAGGGACCCGATTTATGAAGGGGACGAAATTAAATTACAAGGTCGTAATAGTTTTTTAAATTTCTCACATTAAAAAAATTTCTTAAAAGTACTCAATACCTGTAATCAAATGATTAATTATTTTCATCTTTTTCTAGTTTTTAACTTTAAGGAATTTAAATCGATGATAATTCGCGAAAATTTTCTGTATTTCATCTGAAATATTTAGAGATTTCTACTTATTGAGGTGGGCATATACCCATCGCCCCCCTCCCCGCTAACGACGCACGCATCGGAAATATAATAATAATAGTTTAGGCAGGAGATCGGTGGAATTTTTGGGACCCCTTTAAGTCTAATTTTACTTTGAAAAAAGTTCTATCTCTGAAAACCTAAAAAATGAAATTAAAATTAAAGAAAGCAAAATTTTGGTTGCTTTCCTTTCCAAACCATTAGGACCATATTTTTCAGATACCGGCTATCCCTCATATTTTGAAGGTTAATAATCTAAATCCGTCAAAAAGAAAGGCGTGCTTTTTCACAGAAAGCGCGTTTTGGGAACTGAGAATTTTTTTGAGAAACCGAATTTTAAATATATGACTTTTTAAAATGCGCTTTCTCAGAAACTATTCGATCGATTGCGTTCAATTTTATTTTATTTTTCTATATACAAATAGCATTCTTTAAAATTACTCAAACTTTGCATACCTTTACAATTCAGAATTTTTCAAATATTATTAAATAAAATAATAAATACTTATTAAGAATTATTCTTTGCTTGGAATTATCTTTGAATAAATGAATTTTATAATCGTCCGCTCATAGTTTTCGATTCGCTTAAAAAGCTTTCAATATCTAGCAAAATACGCAAAAAATAAGATTAACATTAAGGGATCCAAACTTTCAACCGCCTCCTTGATCAAACTTTTTGGACCATATTTCCCAGATTTAAGAGTCCAAAATCGAAATACATCGGGAAAAAAAGGTATTTTTATCCAGGAAAAATCTGGCTTCAACTCGAACAGAGGCAGACTGAGAAAGCCTTGGCCGGCACTGGACTGTAGTGATAAAGAAGAAGATATTTATTAGTTAAAGAAGATATTTATCCAGAGAAAGTTATGTTTTTCTGTCTGATTTCGTAACCATTTTTTTTAGCATTTTCTCTAATTTAGCAAGTAAAAGGAAGAAAAAAAAAGCAGTCTTTAATCTTTTTTTTTTAAATATGGAGCAGAAGCAGATACTTTATAATCCCAAAACACAATAAAAAAAAATTCATTTTATTTCTTTAATATTTTGTACTTTTTAATCAACCAAGTTACCGAATAATATAGTCCCTTCCGTTATAGATAAATATTTGAGATATCAAAATATATACCAAAATATTTGAGATATCAATATCTATCATAAATTTTTTTATCGTCAACAGAATTTTGTGACTTAAAATATTATTTGCGGGTTAAAAAAAATTTTTTGCCGCTGATTTACAGTTAAACAGCGGCGGCGGTGAACTGTGAATCAATAATTTTACAATCATTTTAACATATCGTACATCGAGAGCTTATTTTAGTAACTAATTATAACTATAATAGGAAATTAATTTTTTGTTATTTGTACTCATTCTACTACTTCTTAAAATGACTTAAAAATTTTTGCGTTTTATTGCCTCTACGAAACTACGAGCAAACTTTTGAATTCCTTCTTTAAATCTATCTCTAACCTTTGACTAATTAGCTATTCTACGACTAATTTAAATCTGACTAGTTAAATTAATCTAATTTAATTATGATTAAATTTTTTTAGTTTGAACATAATTCATTCACCGTCAGACCAATTTTTTTTTAATTATTTCAAAATTTTGATGCATTTAAATGAGATTATTAAATTTTTTTTTTTAAAATCGAATAAATAAATTCCTTACTTTTTCTATCAGCATGTCATTATTGACTTTAATATCTATATTAATTGGAACTTCAGGAAATCTTTCGAAGACATCTTTCAGAAGTGGGATTTTTACATCTTTGTCTTTAGGTTGGCCTGCTAAAAAAAAGTCAACAGTTTAATAATTTTCAAGGGAAATTCTGAAGATTCAACGTTTCTGTGGTCGCAGGATGAAAACTACAGAGATTTGTCACTTGCTAATGGCACAAACAAGGAATAAATAAGCAAAAACAACGTATTAGATCAAAATTTAAAAAAAATTAAAATCAGCTGAAGTTCTTTAACATTGTACTGACAAACTAATAATGAGCCGTTCAAATTAGCCCTGCGTTCAAATACAGTACGTAAGCGTATTTTTGACACTTTGCCACCACGCGTCGCAAATACCCTTCATGCTCATGTGCATTTCCCCCCCCCCCCTTCAAAATTCTATAATTCACAAGATTTTTCTGTTGTTATTGCAATTTTCATGTTTTCCGATGTTTTTGCATTTTCCGCATATATTTTTCACAAGCACTATATTTTCGGGAGATTGAAGATTCTTAATTTTTCCAATAAAATCAGCAGATTACCAAATGAAGATATATTTTTTGAATATAAACTAAGTTTTAAACTTTTCAGCCTTTTATCTCACATAATTGAACGAATAACGTTTTTTACAGTTTTAAAAGGAATAATTTATTTTTTCATTAAATGATTGCTTATTTACTAACACAGAATTTTTATAGTGGTGGGGCAGAGAAAAATCTTAAATTGGAGAAACCAATGAACTCAAGACCCAAAAAAGAGACGATTAGATGTATATTCATAACTATATAATGAAAATTGCCGACTGAAAATGCAAGACTAAATCAGGAAGGTTGGTAACAACATTGATCAGCAAGCCAAGGCCCAGAGTGGACTGTGGCGTCATGAAAAATTTTTTTTAATAGCTTTCTGAATTTTTTTTAGTTTAGTTTATCACTTTTTTGTTGTTGCTGACATCACAAAGAATCTGTAGTTCCCAACGTATTCGATATAATTAAACAATAGTTTAACTGTATCGAATGTCAGAAAAATTTCTCAAATTCCCGAACAGCAAAAAGTTTTGGAAGTCACGCTGACCTCCTTCCAATCCAGCAGCCTTTAATGACCTTCTCTCTTGTTTGACAACATCTTTTTAAATAAATAAAATAAAATAAAAACTGATTCTTGACTCTTCAGGCGACAAATTTGAAAAATAAAAGCTTGCATTATAATTGGGATCGACAACTAAGAGGAAAATCAATTTAAAAATTTTTCAATATATATATATAAGCAAATCATAAACTGTTATGATGCCTCATTGGAAGCTCACGTAATATTTGAACAGACCTTTATATCAGAAGAATAGATTTATTTTACATAATGCTCCAACACGTTAGATAAAAAAATAAAGAAATATGAGTTAGATGATATTTATATCACATGACCCAGATAAACTAATTAATTTACTAACATCAGAGATTCGGCACTTCCAGACCGTCGGAAATAATAATTTCCTTCACGCAAAAAAAAAAGACAATTTTTTCTTTTCGTTTTTGATATTCGTTATTACGATTCAAATTTAGATCCACCTACAGGTAACTCCTACATATACAATGGTCGCCGCTAATCAGAATTGCAAAAACATCACATTCACGAAAGAATGACTACATTTACAATTTAAAATCACGAATTGTGAAGTGCATGACGCAAAGCCTCAAGGCTATGCGGATTAATGCGATAAAATGCGTAACTAAGTGAGGTTTTAGATTTAAATTATGCATGTAAAGGAAATAAATATAACGTAGAGCGTTGGTTTGCAATTCGTAGTAGGAATCAATACTGGGGAAACAATTTTTTTTTGTATCTATTCAAATACTTGTCTGATTTGGGTATAACGAAATTTGCGTCCTGATGCAATTTGCAATTTTAATCCTGATGAAGTGCATTAACTACCCTAGAAATTTGTCTTAACATTTACCCGATCATCTGTTATATATAACGTTTATGTAACAAGTACATTTAAAAAAAAAGTGTCATTTTTAAAATAAACTGTAGCTTGACGGAAAAAAAAATGAAAGCAGATTTGAAATCAGCGATACGATCTAAGACCTATTAAAAAATCTCATGCAACAGAAATCCCCCCCCCCAGAGCAATTACTAATTAACAGGCGTAAATAGGCATCTATAAACATAGAAAAATTTCACTACATTCATTTAGCAGCAACGCTTTTTTTTTTTTTTGGCATGTTAAATACGCAATTTCAAACTTAAAATAAAATAACGATATAATAAAACGATACAAATAATACAACGAAATTAATAATAAAACGATATAAAGTTATAATAAATGAGTCATTATAACGTTCCCAAAAACTTTTTTCAAAGAGATAACGACTGTAATGACCGTTTCACATAAATGTGGCTAAGTTTCATCGAAAGCGTGGGTGTTCATGCGTTTGTTAAAATAAAGATTTATGGAGAAAAAAAACTTACATTGATATGGATGGCCAAGTTTTCTAAACACTATAACAGGAAATTAAGTAAAATAAAATATTCCCCCTACAGCCCGTTGAAAGCTAGACAGATCATTTCGTGATTCCACAATTTCGTGATTTACGGTTCTACTGCGGCAATGTGGGCAGCATTACGCACAGGCCGCCTTTACTTCTCTGACAAGGTAATACCCATTGATCTGAAGCAACGTGGGCTTCAAGCCGCTGCTGGGGATCGAACACAAGTTTAACACAAAGATACTTCAGTGCCGTAACCACTGAGGCATCGCGGCTCAATAAGAAATTAAACAATGATCAAAATATTGCAAAACAATAAAATGCATTATTCTTTTGTGGAGCGGTTCATTGTTAATAACTATTAACTATAAGTTCTTTTTTTAAAAAGGCAGTTTATAGCGCAAATAGCGTGAAATTCAAATATAGAATTTTACAACACTGTTTAATAATCTTTAAGTTTCAAAAACATATACAAATCTTGAAAATTCCTTCCTTCCTTTTTTTTTTAAAAAAAAGTCACCTTTTATCTCTACAAGTCCTAAATAAGTAAATATTATTTGTACTTCAATAAAAAAAAATTTCCTCTATAAAATACTGAAATTTTTTTAAGCATAATGTTTTTTCATGTTTTAAATCCCAGTACTGATTATAATAACAATTAAATGATTTGCCAACGGCTGTGCTGCGTCAAACTCAAACGATATTACGTAATTTAAGGTAAGGAAATCAAATATGGTTGTAAATCAAGTCTGACGTAGAACTAAAAAAAACAAAATATTACTGGTGCGCAGTTTGAAGTCCTTTACTTAAAAAAGATTAACTTTCTTGGAGGTAAATAAAATACCAAAATTAATGACACAATGGTATACAACGTTTTTCGTACAAGTAAGTTTCGTAAACACTATTGACATTCCGAGTGTATTTTTTAATTTGTATGATCAATATTTAGAGTGGTCTCATTCCCTCCCTCCTTACAAACTATAGAGCAGTGTTTCCCAAAGTGTGGTACGCGTACCCTCCAGGAGTACGGGAACAGTTTAGCGGGGGCACGCTTTCGTATGCGAAATATCTTACAGCAAACGAAAATTTCAATTTTTTTTTTTTTTTTTAAACAAAGCTAGACATGAAAATTTACGATTACGTATTTTTCTATTGGGTATTTTTTGCAGAGTTCACAGTCAATAATTAGTGGTGACAACAGCTAGATGCGATTTTTAATTTTTGTGTGCAATTTTTTTGATAATGAAAATTACATTCATTTTTTAATTACTGGTACACAGCTTTATGAAAAATTTAGAAAGGGTATACAAAAGTCATAAGTTTGGGAAACACTGCTGTAGAGTAAGAAAATCGATGGTAGACACTAGAGTAAAAAGGGAAATTTCATAATTGCTTTTTAGACGAATGAGTTATTTTTCCCATTATTTCAACGCTGAATAAAATGAAACTAATCCACGTCAAGATAACTATTAGTTAAACGAAAGGATAATAAAGGTTTAGTGTATAAAAAACACAGTTTCGTACCTAGTTCACGCATCTGACATTGTCATCTACGCTAAGAGCCATTGTTTTTTTATGTACTTTGTAAGCTGCATCATAGAGACCAAACAGAAGTCCAAGCGTTGTATGGGGGTTATAGTGTAAAAAAATTACAGATTCGTATTTATACCTATTAGTACGTTTGGCATTACATGGTTTTTATGCATAGCTCTGCGCTAAATAAAAAAATAAAGGATCTTATACCTAATATCCTATGCGCCAAAAAGGCTTTAGTAAAAAATTATATATAAAGCATTTATTACTTATGCTCTGCTGTCAAATTAATTTTAATGTATTTAGTTTTTTAAAAAAAAGGGACTTTAGTGGGTTTATTTCAGTTTTATGATGGCTTCGGCCATATTAGTAATGATTTCTAGTACATTTGTAAAAGAGGGATTTATTCCAGAGAATTTGAACAAAAATATTCAAAAAAAGGAATGCTGTTTTATTTTATAAATAGTTTTAGAAGATACATATATGGCCATATGCAGAAGATCGCAAAATAAGCAGCTACAAATTATAAAATTTTTACATTATAAAATTTTCGTAATTAATTAACGGTCGTTCTGAGGGGCCATTGGGCATCCAAATTCTTTAACGATAAGAATTTTAAATTATAAGTCACTGTGACTGAATTGTTACCAACGGACACTTAAAAGCATGGGAAGAGATCCATAATTGTCAATTTATTGAAAGATAAAATAGTCACCCCTGAGTTATTAATATTGATTATTTTATAATTTGGTTATAACTTAATCACCAAAGAGACCGTTAGAATTAATTACCCTGTAACAGATACATTTTTACGGTAAGAGAAATAAAGAATAAAATAAATTTTGATGTTTGATTTACATCGTGCGAGTTATACATTTGTATTAAATAAAAAAGTTAGCCGTTACATTGATTGTTAAGAAGAGAAAAAAAATTTATATTTGCTTATTACTTCTATAAAATGAAATAAACTTAAAAAATTGTTTTAATTTAATAAAATTATCTTAGGAATGATTAAAAAAAACAATTTTATAAAAGTAAAGAAATTTTAAA